ACATAGCACATTTCTTAAATACGTGATATCCTAGAATTTCTTCTGTTAGCAGATAAAACCTGGAACAAAATATTCTCTATAAAAGCTAGCATGGAGAACGAACTGATAAGTGACTGCTGAAGGAAAGATTTATACATCCTGGAGGGTCCACGCTCCTATCTGTAAGGGATATCTGGGCAAGGAAACTCCAAAGCAAGATGAAGTGTGGACAATTGCATGTGTATTTTAATGCAATAAAAAATATACAAAGACATAAAAAGTGCTTCTGGTCTGAAAACCAGCTTCTTCCATAAAGAATTACAGTTATGGCGTATGGCTCCTTCCTACTGAAAAAAGAGAGTGATCAAGCTACAGCAATAATTAAAATGTTGCTTTGCCTTACCCAAAAGGATCACCAACTACAAGAAATGCGACATCACAAACATCAGCTTCTTTTAAAATGCTGTCTGCTTCTTGTTCCACTGTTTCTCGGTCAGCCAAAATCAATTCTTTTCCATAAAACTCTTCCTAGAAATTGAAATTAATAAGAAACACCAAAATAAGACACTTAGGAGTGATTTCGTATCTCTCTGGGTGCTCGCTCAGGAACACAGGCGATGGGCAGTGGAAAGGCCAACTTTATTATTCTCCCCAGCAGTCTGACCCACGTCTTAGAGAACGCTGCCTCCCCTTGCAAGAACACCTGAGCTTCCCATAAAACAGCTCCCGAGCTGACAAAAATGAGTCAAGCACGTTATTCTGATACTGCCTTGGGTTTTTATGCCTTCTGTGTCAGTTGAGGAGCTGCTACAAAAGTAGCTCAATCACACCTGCATACTGAAGGTACCTGGGTGGACTCTAGGTGTACTTTAAATTAAGCAGTCATCCTACTGTAAGGCATCCCCCCTCACAAGTCTGAGCCTAACTGCTTAGCTTAGTTATAATACCGACATCAAACCAGATACAAATACGGCACTAGCTATACCACAACCTAGTTTTTTAGATTTTTCCTTAGTGCATTGTAACTAACCACATCTAAGGAATGATTTCATATTGATCCTTCATCTTCAGTTCTCTGTAAGAAATACTTTACTATGTATACAGGTAAATGTGTATTTGATCGTGTCCTTCGCTTTTCTTCAGCAGCTCAGTAATCATCGTGTCTCTTCGTATGTTTTAAATGCCTTTATTACCAGAACCAACGTCACGTGTAATGAAACTTGTTAGTCCTAGAACATGTTGTCTGACCATCCTGAACATATCTGTCTCTAAATTACGTGTCACCATACATTTCACATGCTCTTTACATGATTAGATAAATTTTTTTTTCCAGGGCATAGACCAAAAAGGGTGTTTTTGTTCTAAATAGTATTCAGAAAATTTGGGTGGTATTACAAATATTAACAAATTGATAAAACTATTAAGTCAGTTATGGTCCAGAAAGATTTTCCCCTGGCTTCTCCTGTGACTTCAGTGATAGCTTCATCTTTGACCGCAAAGCATAGTGAATTGACAAGAGAACCATCGTACTTGTACAGAAGCTGAGTAGTGCTTCCATAAAAAAAAATCCATCCCATAGCGAGAGTACTAGATATGGGACCTCTGTTACTGGGTTCGGTTCCCTTTTCTAAAGATGACTTCCTTACCATTTTTGAGTAAGTTTCTCTACCTCTGTAAAATGAGGATATTATTTTGCTTGTGAAACAGACTGCAACCTGTACAGATTCGATAGAAAGGGGACCAAGTAGATGTATAAGCAAATCTTGTATCTGTGATTCAGAACAGTTGATGGCCACCCTGGAGTACTGCTGAGGTCTATACTAAACAAACTACAACAAATTTTGACACCCCATTTGTTTTTATTAGGTATCTTACACTAGATGCAAGTAGTACAGCACAACAGGAGCTGATCTATAAAGCAAAGCGCTTGGTGCGGAGAACTCAGTAACAATGCTACATACGTTTTGGTGGGTTTACCATAGGATGAGACTAACTTTAGTCCAGTACTGTAAGCGAACGCACACTATAGAGCATATTAGGTGCATTCCCAGAAACACACCTTTCAATTTGTTTTCATCTAACAGAATCTATTTGCATGCTTTGACACTGCTCCACAACGCAAATCAAAGCACATTAATTAAAGAATATATAAAAAGCACTCTCCTGACAAAAACTAAAATGTACTCACTGGGAGGTCACTGGGTCCAAACAGTTCTTTCACCAAACAGGGCCAATTCAGATGATCAACATCAAATAGCTTTTAATATATGTTTCAGGCCAACAAGGTAGCCTAAGCAAATCATGTCATTTGAATTTTGAGATCTGATTTTAAAAGCATCGGCACAGGAGGATTTCTAGAAAATCCCTGCAGGAAAGAATCTGTTCTTTATCTCTTGAGAGCTTTCCCATAACTTTTCTTGTTGCTTAGGAGAGACTGACCTTCAGATTACTAAATAAACTACTCAGCATTGTCACTTGTATGTAAACTGGGCTGTATTATCAACACTTGGTGATTAATTCCTACATTCCCTCTTAGGCAGTTTCAGGTAAGAGAGCATCTTTTACTTTGTTTTTATTGATCGCTTTTCCCAATTACGTCATCTTTGGGACTTCAAGGTTTCCAAAAGACTTAAAACAATAAAAAACAAAACAAACCCCCAAAAATAACCATGCCAAAAATATTCAGCGTTTTTCTATTGTTCAGTGTTTTATTTTCAGCTGGCTAGGAATCCATCACTTTTTTTGATAGCAAATGCAGATTTTGTGAAGTAAAAATATCCCAGTAATCATTTCTATTTTGCAATTTTCCAACTATCCAACAAGAACAAAAAAACCCCAACATTTTGATTTGAACGGATTAATTTCAATTCAGATTGCTTCAGAGTACTGAAAAAAACCCAGAAAAACATGGAGTATATCTTCATTTCAAAATAGAGCAGACGATATACCACAGATGGCCCCAAATATTCTAGCCTAGCTTGTATCTAGAAACCACATAACGCTGACCGCAAGCTGAAAGTCTCACATGCTGTATGTACATACAGGTATGCATATATATATATACAAGTATGTTATGGCTATACAGCATCCAAGACCCAGATAGCATCTCTGTATAGCACTACGCAGCTTATTCGGAAGTGAGATCCCTGTTCTGTGGGTAGGCAAGCTCTTTTTTTGGTGTTACTTCAACATTAAACTTTATCTTTCTATGACCAGTGAATCCATCAGAGTTATAACTTGTACATTTTTACTACTGCCTTCTTCCATAAGGTGTGTTTACTAATAAAAAGCTTATCTCCACGTTGTTCAACAGCCCGTCTCTGCCTGAACTATGTACGTTCTAGAAGTCTCAACATGGTGAGACAGCTTGGCCCACAAGGAAACATGGAAATGTGAGACAGTCAAATTACTATTCCCAGCAGGCACACCATAATACCTCAGGCTGATACAGCGGTTCAAGGCACCAAAACGTGTATTTTTTCTGGTACACCTTTTGATTTTTTTTCTCAGATCAGACATTTTTCTAGCCAAGTTCTCCGATATTTCAGGATCTCCGTACGTGGTTAGAATCTGAGATGAGAACTAGTGTCAATGCTTGCAGGAAGGAAAATTTTATTTTCACTCCGGTCTTCTCATAAGGTAGCGAAACGATTTCTCCTACAAAATACAGTGTGTGAAGGGCACGTACATACTTTTTCTGAGGACACGCACCATTAGCTTCTCCTGCTGACGTTACCGACCGACCGGCCCCAGCGCCCTCCTCGCTCCTTGGCACGGGGGCCGTCAGGGCTCTGCGCGACAGCAGCGCCCAGACCTACCAGCGCTTCCTTGCCCACCGTGAGGACGGACGTGTAGGCCTCCAGGTACACCCTGCGGCACCGCCTCACCGCCTCCAGCCCCTTCACGGTGATGTCCTTGGCGTCCCCCAAGCCCAGCCCGACCAGATACAGCATGCTTGGGGAGGCCGGTTACAGCCGCCAGGCCCACTGGCCGCCGCCTGTCACGGGAGGGAAACGGGGATCAGCGCCTCACGCCCCACCACGCCACCGACCGCC